GGATACCTGATTTGTTTATTGTCCTTTCTGTTTATTTAATACCTAACATGCCTTTTTTGGAAAAAATTATCGGAACCACCAACTCAACCCCTCTCATAAGTTAAACAGAACACTGAACCAGTGCTCAACCAAACTTTACAGGAACATTTGACTCTTAATACACACAATACAACTTAAACCAGCTACACTCGCCTCAAATTGCAATAAAAAGTGACCCCGTGCTTAATTCGATCGTTATTTATACGCTTTTAAATAGAGACGCACGGTAACGTCCACCACTTGATGTCCTCTCGCTGCTGCTTGAAGAAACTGAGAAGGCATTGCAGAACCGCAATCCTGATTGGTCATAACAAAATATTCTGGGAAGGTTCGGCGATGGCTCGATACCAAACCCAGTTTCCACCAAACGCCTCTGGTAGGAGCATGCGAACAACAAGGGTCTGGCAGAGCTCAGGCTAGAAACTGGTACCCAGAGGAAACCTAACCAATCAACGGAGAACATGCAAACGACACTCAGAAAGGCCTGCCACTTCTTGCTGAAGCGAGAGTGCTATCCACTCATCCACCGTGCCGCCAGGTTAGGGTGAATCAATAATTTTAATAAATCATGATTCTAAAAAGTTGACCATGTTGATTTACAAGGTCCACAGCAACGGTGGCTGATGGATAGCACTCTCCCTCTCACAAAAGACCAGCCTTTTCTGAGTGGCGTTTTGCATGTTCTCCCCGTGTCTCGGAGTTTTCCTCTGGTACATTTTTTCTAGCCTGGCTCGTGCCAACCCCTGGAAGTGCCCCTTCTCCACCAGAGACTTTGGCTGAACCACATGGTCTGGTATCGAGCCCATACAACGCCTTCCCCATATTATTATATTAATCGACCAATCAGGATTGCCGTCTGCACTGCCTCCTCAATGGCCTCAATCGCACGAGAGAATCCAAGATGGGACGTAAAGTCCGCGATCTTTTTAAAAGATATATAACGATCGAAATTAAGACACTAGTCAACTTGTAATGGCATTGTACGAGATGTAGAGGTTCTATGTTATATAGGGGTTATTAAATCTAATGTTCCTTAAATTTTTAAGCACTGGTTCAGGTTTCCTGTTACACACTAGGCACAGGGTGCCCAGGTTTGGTGGTTCTCCGCATATATTTTCCGATAAACTTGTAGGTATTAAATAAACAGAAAAGACAATAAACACAATCCATGGTTGCCCAATTGATTAAAGAATTTTTAGCCAAAAAATATCATTGAGGGGTAAAATATTGCTGGGATTTGTCAACCTAATACCTTGCTTCGAGATGTTGATAGCAACTTCATTCAGAATAACGGACATGTGTCTATCCAATCACATATAAGGATGTTTTTTTTACAATGCCCTGCCTTCGGAAATCACCACTATTGCTCATACCCGACTCTTTGTGAAACACGAACTACTGGTCTGGCGAGAGTCAGGCTATCAGTTTCCCCTACCACTAAAAATATGTTCAATAGGGTAATGCGACACCCCGCCCATCCTCTTGGATGTAGGACATTGCCCCAAAAAATAAAACTTAAACCTCTATGTGACCTGTCTGTGATGCGGATATAAATTAGATAACTTACTTACTTCTTATTTAACAACAGATCCTTCTTTAAGTTTTGGAATACCTGCGCCTCTCTCCATGAAATCACCTGTTGTTGTGCCCAGTTCCATTTAGTCCAGTCCCTTTTAACCGTACAGCCTCCCTCATTGGCGTGTCATCTGGTGACTGGAATTACTTACACAGTATGCAGATAGACTCACTGTACATCTCCCTGTCTCCTGAGAAACCACCAATGGATGCTCTGTTTTAACTGGCATTGTAACCTGAAATCCTATCAGAAACTTGCTCCACTCAACAAGACAAATCTGAGTGTTTCATCCCCTGAGGCCCAAGATGTAACTTTACCAAAACTCTCTTATATATCTGAACTCTGAACATTGTGGATGGCTTTGGTGGTACTTGTCTGTGTAAAATGCGCTATATATATAAACATCACATTACGATACATTTTACTTACAAAACGCCAATCACACTCGTTTAATCGATCATCAAATAAAAACCTGCGTAAGCTTTACTCTGACTGACTTTTTATTCCGCACATCAGAACATCACAAAAATAGATTTTATCATCGAAAATCATCGCCAAGCCCCCCATTCTCTCGCGGGCAACACTATGACGCTATCTTTAATCACATTCATTGACTACTGAATCCCTCTCTCTGTCGTCCCAAAAAATTTCCAGGTAACAATTGACCTGCAAACGTGCCGCACTGTCCTACTAAACCAGGCGGACCACAGTACACCGGTGTAAAATCGCTGCTTGGCTCCCGTTGGGTTGCAGGATCCATTTAGGTTCAATTAATTTTTTTAAAATTCTTAATGGTCTTGGCCGTCTTTGAGAATCAACGCGTTTTCAAAGTTAACAGTATTTTTTCTGCAGGGCAGCTCTGGTCACCTTTTTAGTAAACTTTTAAACAACTGTTTAGCCGTTGTTATTCGTTCATTTGATTGATCATTTTTTTTAGCTTTTTAATTCAGTTTGCAAGCAAATACACGTATCCCGTCTGAAACCCACAGTAGCACAGAGTCGAACACAACGAACGTGACTGGAAAGTACAATGAAATTGGCTCAAACAGGCACAATATATCGCCTCACCTGGGAGCTCCTTACGACCGTGCCCCCATTTGCAGATCGACAAAAATGTCCATCAGCCCACGCAGGAGTTGAATGAAAACATCTCAGTATCCAAACTTTTTGAGTCCTGGGGCAGCATTCACCGCGAGTCTCTGACCGCTGCATATTGGGAACGGTCGTTGGAAGAGATCCGCAGCTCCGGACCCTCCTTTCTACACCTAACGCCCCTTTCGAATAACAGCAGCGATCCGAGGACCATCCGCGCCGTGGCCCATGTCCCGGATCTGGCAAACCCAGCACCCTCTCCACCGACATCCCGCCCCCTCAGCAGAACCGCTGACAATGGTGGGGCAGCAAACTCTACACTTCAGATCCAAGTCCACTACCGAGAAAACGCTCCGAAAGAAGCAGTCCTCAGCGACAGAGCGTCACCACCATGTTGACCCAGACAGCAGCCTCAGACTGGGTAAGACTACCATCATCACCACCGCTCACCTCCACCGTCAGCAGCAGCGTCCAGATCCAGCCCCTCTCACCGATCCATCGTCCCCGGAGCCACAATCAGCGTTGGTCGCCTGTAAGCTGAGAGTCAGCCACCCCCCTCCTCCTCTCCCATGTGTCAGCGGCCGCGCCGGCTCGGATCCTGCTTCGTAGAACCCGCTGTTCCGTCCCTCCGAGCTCCATCTCCAGCACTCTTCGCCCCGACCACTCTGATTTGGAATTTCCATCGAGAACACGTCCGCTTTCTTCACGCAGGTCACTCGCAGTATCCCTGAGCTAACTGTACCACCTGCGCATTCGTCTCCCTCCTCTGCTTCAGTCCCTTGCCTGAGACCGTGTAACCAATAGGCGTGTATGGGGAATTAACGACCATGAAACTTCCAGCAAGTCAGAGTCACTAAGAAACATTTATTGATCTTTATTACATAGTTAAATGTGTTGTGTTTTGAAAGTTAGGTACCCCAGCTTTAAGCGTTTGTATACATTTGGTGTCTGTTCAATAGGGCTGCTAAGGACTTATTCAGAGACTCAAAAATCTTGGCATTTCGTCCCACGGAAAGCTAGCCTAAACGTACTAACTCTCACAATGACTTTTAACTTATAGTCGCCCCATCGCTACTTTTTCACCAGCAATCAATAGTTTCAGATGCATTTTGGGAAGTTACTCAAACATTGTAATACATTATATATGACTAGTGACAGAGATTATACATTTGTACTACAACATTAGCGTCTAAGTCTGTAACCTGCAAAATAAAACGGGGCTAAAAGGACAATCTTTGGGTTGAGAATATTTACAAACAAAGGCTATTGCTGTTGTCAAATTTGATAACTTCCAAAAGATTCGTCAGTTTGTGGTGGGTGCAGTCGCTGCGTGTAACAGAGTTCGTACAGGTTTGAACTTAAATAAATTCTCAAAAGTGTTTCTTCATTAAAAACAGACCTGGAGTGGTTTTTAAGCTTCATCCACGCTAACACTAGGCTAGTTATAGCACACGTCTGCGTACATACAACCTCCCACAACCAGGACATTGTTGTTGTGTATATAGCCTAGTATATGAACGGTGCTATACAATTAAACACGGCTTAAAACTTATTTCTCTGTCAATTATATCTCACCATGTCTTGAATAGATCTAAGTTTAGCAATATGTGAATTCCCGCTTCTTGACCATGAAATTATCTACTTTCACTTTTCAAAACCCTTTCTATATCCTTTATCCACATCCCTTCATATATATTTTCTGGCTAAGACACATCTACACATTTTGAAACGTGAATTGACAAAGTAAATTATGTTTTTGGGCTAAAATCAACACAAATAATGCATCATATTTGCTTACGTTTTTCCATGACCTTCCTGCAACACAATTCAATGCGTTTTCTTTGTCATCGAGGTGGAATAAAACCCTGGTCTTGTACAACACAACTCTTTAAATGTTGAAATTGAAACTAACAATGTCATTTTCTGTTGTAGTTTGACAAGGTTGTAGAATTGATACACGTCGTAAGAAATGTCAAAAACCTTCGAAAAACTTAGATTTCTGGGAGTGTTGCATGTGACAAATACATTATCTATGGATCAAAACTTTTTATTAGACCGGAACCTGGACATAAGATACTGTTTTTTCGATGCCTGTACGAACCCTGAACCAAGCACAAATACTGTGAATGAACAAAACACAATTTGAATCAGAAAATGTGCATATTTTTGGCTTTTTTTTGTTTTTGAAATTGCTGCTTGGGGGCAGAAGGGGGCGCTCTACATTCCCGGTTGACTTCAGTAAAAAGAGCAAAGTTTGTATTGGTGGCGCTTGGATTCTTGGCTTGTCTCAGTCTTACAGAAGCGCTGTGGCCCTGGGCTCTTGCTCCTAGACAGCGGCAGAAGCGTTAGGTCCAGAGGCTGTAGGAGACCAGGAAGAAAAGAGGGGAAAATAGGAAGGAGGAGGAGGAGGATCAGACCGAGGGCGCGGGCTTCCTCTGGAGTAGATACTGCTGGATGTGGTCGGCGTCGCGCTTCAGCCACGCGGCGTTCAGCAGGATGTTCTCGCAGCACTGCTCCACCGTGCGCTCCGCCGACGGGGCGGGGTGCGCCTCGAAGAAACTCTGTGGAAAAAAGCATTGGCGGAAGTGTGAAGCTGCAGCAGGATTTTAGATTCAATACTAATGTTTAAGCCTGAAAACAGCTTTTTGATGTTGGTTTAATTCTCAACAGAAAAGATGGCGATGAATCTATTTGTTATTTGGTGTTAGGAACCAAAAATATATACATTTACCTTTACTTCAGTAGCCATTTTATCGATTGCGAACCCATCGACTGTGAGCTGGAGAGGGACAAGTACAAGAATATTAATGACACTTTAAAATAGTCAATAACAAAGACACAGTTTTTAGACGACACACACATCCATAAATTCAACTGTATTCAATAATGAAGTTGATGGTAAGACATTTTCACATTCTTAAACATAAATTGACAAAGTAAACCATGTTTTTGGGGCTAATATCAACACAAATAATGCATCATATTTGCTTAAGTTTTTCTCTGACCTCCCTGCAAGACAATTCAATGCATTTTCGGTCACGTTTGACAAGGTTGTAGAATCCATAATGCAAAAAGAAAAATTGTGAATTTCTAAAACGTTCCCAAACTTTGACTAGTGATGTTGGTATGGGTTTCCGCCTTTTTTTGATATCCATATCCCCTCCTGATTGGCTCCTGGCTGACTCCCCTTGACCAATCCAGTGGGACCTGAGAGTGACCTCACAGCCAGTATATATAGAGCGCTGGGAGGGACTAGTTTGGGCTCTTGGTCTATGCAACATGTAGCAGGCCTGATGCTTCCAGGGTCCTCTCTCTCTCAGCCATCTCTCCTTGGGGTATGACCAGTGGGGGAGGGTCCCAGCTCAAAAGTGGTCAAAATGACGTGCGCTGACATGCTTGCAATACCACCCCGGGCCGTTGGGGGTGGACCCAGAAGAAGAATTAGCCAATGCTAACATATAGCGTTGGCAGACCTCTCGAAAACGTCTTTACAGGATGGACCAAAAGTCGGCTCTTGGCCCAAAGCTCCGTTCCATATGTGTGTCAATGCTGAGGGGGGTGAATTTTTTTGGTCCACTCTAGTTTACTTGCGGGGAATTTTTGAAGTCTCTCGTTCAAATGAATGGAACTGCACCGGCTGACGCATGCGCAAATGCGTTTTTCAGATAGGCGTGACTGTCCATTAATATATACAGTCTATGGGTATGACATTTTCTGTTTTGTCTGTATGTATCTTGTAAAAAGTCAGAATCATTAAATGGCCTCTTTATATCTATTGGTTTGGGCTTAGTATGTACAGCAAGGATCACATTTTCATAATAACAAGGCAATTTCACTATTTGTTATTGACTTTTTTGATTATTACAGATATTACATTCACTGACTGTATAACAACCAAAAAATTGGATTGGGCTGAAGCAACTTGCTGATCTGAGCCCATCCTGACATCACGCAGACTGTAATATCTCTCAAAACATCAAGATTTATGTACATTGGTCATCCGCCTATGGATGAATGGCTCTATGGGTTTTATATCATCGCGTTTCTGTTTTGAGGTGGATTTTTCACCTTGATAAGTCGTGATATGAGGAATCCTCCCTGGTAACGGTTGTACAGTTCTTCCCAGTTGTCCTTCACAAACTTCCAGGCTGCTTTCCGTCCCTGTTTACTGCTCCCTGCGACGCCTCCGATCACCGACACCGTGTCCTGCGGGCGGACGTCCTCCTGAACCACGGGCAACAATAAACCACAGTTAGATAAACAATAGAACTTTTTAAAAGGCAGAATTTCATGTTTTGGCTTTGACATTACTACAGTTGGAAATGGCTTTTATAGGTGAAACAAGTAATCTAAAATGGATAATTTGGAATATACTGCATTTAAAAGTAAGGGAAAGGACCCGGAAAAACTCAATAATACTTTGGACAAACTGAAGTTAAAAATATTGACAAAAACATGCCTCAAGAGTAGACCAAGAAAGTGAGAATTATGGAATGGAGATACATGTTTTACTAGATTAATGCTTATTTTTCTTTGTAATAACTTTCTTTTACGCTTTTTTGTGTGTTTTTGTCTAGTCTAGGCAAGTATGCATGTTCTGTTTGATATTTATCCTTTTGCTGTTTTTGTGTTTGTCTGTTTTGTTCATAATAATAATAAAATAAATGAATAAAAACGTAATAATTGTGACTGAAGTGCGACGTACCGACAGGGCAAAGGTGAGCACTTTCTGGATCAGGTCTGGGGCTGAGATGGCTCCTAAAACTCTCTCGATGCGGTTCTTCTCCTCCTGCATGTCGGCCTGTTTGTGCAGCTGAGGGGCAGACACGGTCACAGGATTAGAATGGGAGAAATGTGAGATGTTATGAGTGTTATGCTGATTAAGCTCTTTTCAAACTTTCAGATTCCCAGCAGCACGAGTTCAGGGGCAGGTATCTACCCACACGTATGAAACATGAGTGGGTAGAAACCTGCATCAGAACTCATGGAATATGTATAAGCTGTGAATATGTATAAATTCCATGTGTGCGTATGTGTGTGTGTGTGTCATTATGCCTTTATAGAGACGGATATAGAAACAAAACGCATTCATTTCAGGGACTGCAGATGAAAAATAGATTACTTGACTAATTCTGGTGCATTTACAGAAATGTTTATTACTGCACTATGTCCCTGTCAAAAAAACTAATTATGGAGAAGTCTAGACAAATAATTTTCTTCCATTAATTTGTATTCATAATCCATTTGTTTGACACCATGACTTAAGCACTTATACATTGTGTAAGTAAGTATTTATGTATGAAAGTAAGTGAGTAAGTATGTATAAAAGTAAGTAATCTTTATTTGTATTTCAGACCATTCTTGTGGGCATTTGGGAGCAGGGTCACCATACAGGAGGCACATGCCAGACCCTATTGTACATGTTTTTAGCGGTAGGGGAAACTGGAGTACCCGGAGGAGACCTAGGCTGACGGGGGGAGAACATGCAAACGCTTACCTTCAACATCGTCTCCAATGTGGCACTGTCTCCATGTTTCAACACTGTTAAATAAACCTGAAGGCACAAACACACACAGTTAAAGTCTGAGATCAGCCATTATCAGTGTGTTAACTCTGCAGCTGAGTCTTACTGGGCTCCTGAGGTCCGCGGGCAGCACCAGCTTCCCCTCCACATGATCCTTAAACCTCCGCCGAGCTTCTTCTAAAGTGGCTTTATGTCCCGCTTTCCCCAGTTTCCCCAGAACCAGGCTTCGCAACAGAGCGTCCAAGTGACCTAGAAAGATAAACATGAAGAAATGAAGTGGTCTCTGTTTCTGGTCTCCCTCTCTCCCTCTGGTCTCCCTCTCACTCTCTGGCCTCTCTCTCGCTCTCTGGCCTCTCTCTCTCTCTCTCACTCTCTGGCCTCTCTCTCTCTCTCACTCTCTGGCTGGCCTCTCTCTCACTCTCTGGCTGGCCTCTCTCTCACTCTCTGGCTGGCCTCTCTCTCACTCTCTGGCTGGCCTATCTCTCACTCTCTGGCCTCTCTCTCACTCTCTGGCTGGCCTCTCTCTCACTCTCTGGCTGGCCTCTCTCTCACTCTCTGGCCTCTCTATCACTCTCTGGCTGGCCTATCTCTCACTCTCTGGCCTCTCTCTCTCACTCTCTGGCCTCTCTCTCTCACTCTCTGGCCTCTCTCACTCTCTGGCCTCTCTCTCTCACTCTCTGGCCTCTCTCTCTCACTCTCTGGCCTCTCTCTCTCACTCTCTGGCCTCTCTCTCTCACTCTCTGGCCTCTCTCTCTCACTCTCTGGCCTCTCTCTCACTCTCTGGCCTCTCTCTCTCACTCTCTGGCTCTCTCTCTCTCACTCTCTGCCCTCTCTCTCTCACTCTCTGGCCTCTCTCTCTCTCACTCTCTGGCCTCTCTCTCTCACTCTCTGGCCTCTCTCACTCTCTGGCCTCTCTCGCTCACTCTCTGGCCTCTCTCTCTCTCACTCTCTGGCCTCTCTCTCTCTCACTCTCTGGCCTCTCTCTCTCACTCTCTGGCCTCTCTCTCTCTCACTCTCTGGCCTCTCTCTCTCTCTCACTCTCTCCTCTCTCTCTCTCTCACTCTCTGGCCTCTCTCTCTCACTCTCTGGCCTCTCTCTCTCACTCTCTGGCCTCTCTCTCTCACTCTCTGGCCTCTCTCTCTCACTCTCTGGCCTCTCTCTCTCACTCTCTGGCCTCTCTCTCTCACTCTCTGGCCTCTCTCTCTCACTCTCTGGCCTCTCTCTCTCACTCTCTGGCCTCTCTCTCTCACTCTCTGGCCTCTCTCTCCACTCTCTGGTAAAGTGTCCAGACTGAGAGGTTTCAGACACATACCTTCCCCGGGCTTGCAGTCCCAGCCCAGCTTCAGGCCGATGGGGGAGAACAGGTCCCGGATGAAGACCTGGATCTCCTCGTGGAAGTCCGTGTGTGACAGCAGACAGGACAGCACGCCCAGGTTACAGCTCAGGTCGCTCCATACCGTGTAGTTTGGCTCATTGACAAACGCCTCCATCAGCTTCAACACCTCCACTGTGCTGATCATGCCCGCACGAGCCTGAGGAGAGAGGGACAAATACTCAATTAACACCCAACAGTACGGTACAAATTACAAAAACAGTAAGATCAGTAAGATGTATTTCTATACCGCAATGCATTGACTTGAGCACTAGATCCCCATTCATTACAAAGTTGTCAAATGAATGCTAATGATGCTAAAATTGTTAAAGGGCTCGTCTTTGTATATGACTTTTATTCAAGATTCAAGAATGTATTTGCCGTTTGCAGTAAAACCACATTTGAAAAACTGTGCAAGACGACCCCAGTGTGCACCAGTATTGTACACACCAGGGATCCTGCCACGCACCATGGGGACATTTTATGATCTCACTATGTCAAGAAATGTGCCAATATAGCATATCTTGAAAATAGACATATTTTTCTCACTATGAATAGACAGATCCACAAAGGTGTTCAATTCCAGTACTACACTATTTTGGCGTGTATGATAATTGAGGCTTCTAGTTCCCATCTGTATGTTTGAAAATGCAATGAGTTTATTCTGACATCCCACTTATACTAAATTATACAACACCACATGGCATGGTATTCATTATAAAAAGTAAAATAAAACATTTCTGTAACAAAATGCCTTGAGTTGAGCCATAGAGCCACTTTCATTATAAAGTCAAATTAATGCTATGACATTAAAGGGCTTGGATTTGTATATCATTTTTAATATTCTCACTATGTCCACTTAAAAACATCTTGAAAATATATGTATTTCTCTCACTATGAATAGACGAAGCCACTCTTGTTCAATCCATTCCTATTCTTTTTCAGCATGAATAATAACGAGGCTTAATAATGAGGCCGAGTTCTCCTCTGCAGTAAGTAAGATAATGCACTGTGTATTCTGACGTCCCTCTTAAATCCTCTTAAATGGTTCCAGGAAGAGGAGGTTTGTTACCAGGGAAAAGAGGTCGTTCTGCAGCCCCAGTCGATCCACCGGCTGCAGACTCAGGTCCCTGATCCCTGGGAGCAGATTTTCCAACATCGACGAGCTGTACTGGATCCTGTAGAAGCCCACTGTGCCCGGGTTGACCTGAGACCAAACAGTTAGGATTCATTCTTTACATAAGAAGGTCAAAAAAGAACATGTGTTAGCGCCATATGAACCAACACGGACTCTGAGGAGCACAGGGACTGGTCTCCTACTGGGACTATGAGGAGCACAGGGACTGGTCTCCTACTGGGACTATGAGGAGCACAGGGACTGGTCTCCCCTCTGGTGCCCTGAGTCAGGACTAAACATGGGGAGGCTGCATTTCAGATTCATGCAGCTACAATATAGAACAGTCTTCCTGAGAATGTGAGACAGGCTTCTTCCCTGACAATGTTCAAGTCCAGGTAGAAACAGTTCTGTCTAACTGTGCAAACAACTGAATGATTGTATCTTTGATTTTATCTTTACTCTTTTTAATGGCTATTTATTTAATCCCATGTGTGAATTTAATGTTTTAAGGTTTTTAACTACTTGTGTGATTTTATGTGTTTAATATATCTTGTGCTCTTATTGTGTTTTTTTATGTAGATTCTAATGTTTGATGATTTATGCATGATGTAATGTTGGTTGTGAGGTGCTTTGCGTTGCCTTGTGTAGAAAAGGCACTCTACAAATAAAAGTGATTGATTGATATCTGAGAGGTTATTATTTTAATCTCTGAATGAGTTTGTTAGTTAGCAACATAACTAAAATTTGCATAGGAATATTTTTACAGAAATGTCAGTAAAGATCAGGAAAGATAAAACGTGATTGATCTTACAACGGAGAAACTTTCATGTTGCATAATGTTAAATATTGGGTCATTGGTTTTCTTTCTAAAGAATGGAACAGCGCCAGGACGAGCGCTGACAAAGCAGACTGTGGTGAGCATAAATCTGACAAAACCAATTTACAAAACCACTGCAGATGATACGAGCACAGCCACAGTCCATCAAGCAGTGAACACGTTATGAAGCGGTAACTTTTAAATTATTACTTTTAGAAAATAAAAATAACAAACTCCTTAAAGTCATTAGTCATTCACTTTATGTGCACGAGTTGTCCTCAGAGAATCAGGAGACTATGGTTAGCACTCTCAATCAACAATGAAGTCCTGGGTTCAAATCCCAGTTGAAACGGGGTGTTTCTGAGTGGAGTTTCCATGTTCTCCCCGTGTCTGCATGGTTTCCTCCACATGCTTCCATTTCCCCTACCACTATAAACATGTACAATAGGTCTTATGCTACAGGGCTGTTTCAAACCAAGTAAACTAAAACAGTTATTAAATTAATAAACCTGAAGTTATAATAATGATAATGAAAGATAAAGCGTTTTTCTTTTATGTTGTGTCACTAAAATGATAACAGATCCATCGTGAGACTTCCTCCTAACACCCCTCACAACAAATAGCAACATCAGCATTTTAACTGAGTGGATATACAACACCCCTTGAACAAAAGTTACCAGTCGCCATGGCGCCCAGAGCTCCATCAACACATTCTCAGGTGATAATTGGGTCTCGGTCTCACCTTGATCCACTGGTCCGGTCCCACTCCGCTCACAGTGATGGTGGTCTCCGGTCGGTCCAGCAGCACTTTGAGCTTGGAGCAGGTGGGGTCTTCACTGGAGCAGATGCTGACCGGAACCATCCAGTTTAGACACTCGCCCTCTCCGGTCTCGCTCTGGGGACCGCTGGCACAAAACTTCTTCTGAGACAGCTTTACAATGCGGTCCTCTCCTTGCTGAAAAGTGGTTACGTGGATGTTCAGTTTATTAGACGATATAAACAAAACAAAAACAAACCAATTCTTGTGAGTACACGCCACAGTGATTAAAAGTAGATCCTTAATTAGGGTCTAAAAGGGTGTAAATGACCCAGGGCTGGTCAAGTTAGGAAAAATAATTTATCTTATTTACACTTTGAAACACGTACAAAACCTATGTTTAGGTAAAAAGACGGACTTTTCAGGTATCTCTTATTTTTTGTCTTTTGAAGTGTAAAAAGTTGTCTCAAAAACGTTCAAATAATGTAAATAAAAAAAATGAAATATTAAAAAGTTAGGAAAAATTATCAAAATTCAGCTAGAAAAATAATAATAATTTAGTCAATGTGGCGGTTCATTTTGACCTGAGGATAGCACAAGGGTTAAGCTGCAGTAAAAATGCACAAATATCCAAATATGTCCATCTAATGATGCTAAGATTGTGATTACATGGTGTTTTATGTCTGCACTGAAATGGAGCAAAGGATCATGGTCCTTGTAGTTCCCAGTGTGTTAAGCCATTTCTCATCATCACATCCTTACACTATGATAAGTAACGGTGATTGCTTTGTCGGCAATAATACCGCATCAAACATATCTTTTGAAATTGTTATTGTTAATATTAGTATCATTATAAGTAATTAAGTATGATTCATTAGAAAATTCTATGCAGTGATGTACATTGATCTCGAAGTAAATAAACACTCACATTTCAGAATTGTGTTATTATTCATTTTTTTGTGCATTGACCATGAGAGTAATTGAATAAACGCAAAATGAATTATTACTTATTCCGGCATGAGCTCTGAACAGGTGTCTGTGTTCTGTGAATGGACAACTTTTTTCCAGTGGAGGCGGGTCTCGACTCAAAAGGGTCCATGGAGAGCTCTTGCGCTGACATGCTTGTAATCTGACTCCTTGCCGGTGGGGGTGCACCCGGAAACAGAATTATCCAATGCATTCTTTTTCTTTTTTTCCCCTCTCAAAAACGGTCAATGCTGAGGGGAGGACTTTTTTGAACCAGGCTAGTTTAGCCGCTGCGGACTTTTGAATGAACATGCTAAATGAACGTGTGGCTCGTGCGGGCTAACGAATGCGCACATGAATCAGCCTTAGCCCCGAAAGTGTTTTTTCACCAATTTCCTGCGGGAGGGGCCATTTTTAAACGGTCCGTGGGAATTACACATACATATCAACGGGGGAAATAGGTGTCACTACGTCCGCTAATATTTACAGTCCATGCCTTTTTCTTCATCCCAATTTCTGCTTTTTACCACTAGCTGCCCCTGGCCCTACAGCACAAACACACTACTTATGTCTCTGCTACAGTTGGCTTTCATGTTGGTTCAACCTTGGCATTTGAGCAGCAGCACACAGGCTTGAACTCTGCTGTGCTTTGAGGACTTGCTGATCGACCATATGGCAAAAACACCCGGCGCCCAAAACACAAGTCACAAATCATATTGAACCGTTTCCTCTTAACGTGCATGAAATGGTGTGTTTAATGTTTTTTGATAAACCCTGCTAAGGCTGTGTGATGAGAGCAGAGATTGTGAAAAGCAGGTGTCCCACTGTGCACCTGCTCTTGGTCGACGACGATGATTGGAAATCCCATCTGTTTGGTCCACGAGCTCATCACCGCGGCGATGGGTTTGCCGCTGGCCTGCTCCAGACACTCCCATAGATCCTCTGACAAACACATGCAAATTAGACAAGAGAAAAGGAAGACAGAGGATACCTGAGGAAAAAGCATTAGCAAAACGACAGCTTTAAAACATGCAGTATAATGACATAGAATTTTGATTTTTCTCTACGTTATTATTGTGGTTTGCTTTACAGGCCACTATAAAAAAAGGGTTTTTCTTTGATCAAATACATAGACAAATTCCACGTAGCCCAGTGTGCACCAAACAACGCAGGTAGAATGCACCAGAGACACTATTTGTTTTAGATTATACCAACTATAAAAAGGTGTGACTAAAATAGTAACATGTTCAAACAGTTTGCAATATATTCAAGTCAATGAGAAAAATAGCGCAAGTTTGTATTTTAACGGTCTTTAGATGTATTTTTTACTTGTTATGTAAGGTGACAGTGAGTGTTTAGAAGGGAGGCAAAGAAATAAGATTTATTAAAACAAAACAATGACGTATTCAGAGCATAGTATTTATTTATTCATCTGTATTAAGGACACAATGTGATGCGGTCCATAGGTAAACGATAATAAATGAGCTTAGTAAAGTATATCCAAAATATCTCCTCACCTGTTGCTGCGTTTTTGTTTTGAAACTTGACCAGATATGCGTTCATTCCTTTCCTAAAATCCTAGAGGAGAGAGTGAATGGGTGAGGGTTTGACAGTGCTCAGATTCAGGCCAACGGCAGGCAGCGCTCAAACCTCGTCTCCGATGTAGTTGTGCAACATGCGGATCACGGACGCTCCTTTGCTGTACGAGATGGCGTCAAAAATCTCGTCCACTTCAGACGGGTGGCCCACGTTTACCTGCGGGCCAACAGGGGGCAGCGAGGAGTCAGTAATGTACAGTGGTTCATTTGCAGTTTTACAGGTTAACTTTTAACTTTATAGATCCAACGTATTATGGAGGGAGCAACTGGTATTTAACTTTGTCTGTGAAATTAATAATAATAATACTAGAACCAAGAACCAAGTTTATCTGTATGGCACACTTCATACACAAAGCAAATCGTAGTGCTTTCATAGTGCTTAGTAAAACAAGATCAATGCAAATGATCAAAATTAAAGGATTCCGGGATGAATCAGGGCCAGTTTGTATTGGTTATGGTTTTCCAATTTAATTAATTTATGTATTTTTTCACGAGTCAAGATTTGGCTTTTTCTTTCTATTGTCGGCTGTTTTGCTCGTTTAAATTTATGTCTACTCCTGTACAGCACTTTGGAAACTCTTGTTATGAAATGTGCTGAGTGGATTTGAACTCCGAACTCACAAATACTTTTTGATGCATTTTACATGTATTCCGTCTGGATTTTCAGTGAAATTTGCCTCAGCTGAAGAGTCAAAACCCAACAGTGTGTCATTCTACAGTCTATTAGACACAAACCCCAGGCGCCACTTATAATTAGAGAAATGTAGTCACCAGAGACCAAAACTAAAGGGCCATAGCATCATAAAGTCGCCAGCCATTTGTTTGTACTTCAAAAGGTCAACAAGATTTTATTGAGAAAATATATGGTATAATGTTGAAAAGAGTACATTTTAAAACTACTGCACTACATTAACACACATTTACAATAATTAAATAATGTTTCTATCGTTATTCATGGACAAAAAGCCTTTTCAATACATTCTGTTTCAGCTCAATATGGAAAAATATTTGACAGCGTAACAATAGGAAACGTTTTGTGTATTGTGGTATGGACTCTTGTTTAGTGTAATTATTTACAGTGCCGATCTCTGTTAAAGTGATGAATTTTATTTGGAAGATGAGGGCAAAGCACGGACTTGATTGTGTTTGTTTTGATTTAAACTGGAATGACTGAATGACCAAACGACACTAAATGAAATTAAAGTAAATGAAATGAAAGTAAATGAAATGAAGGGTCCACAGCAATATTTTGCCATCTCAAAACGAACCAGGCTGTCAACAAATTGGTACAAAATACGATAATTTAATAGTACAGAGTAGCTCCAGGTTTGGCCAAGTGAATGTTAAGACCTTTTAGGAATTTTCAATGCTGTTTAGGTCCAACTTAATGCCATCAAGGTCAAAATGAAAAAGAAAAGAAACGGAACAAGGTGTGATTTATGATTTATGACGCAGAAGCCTAAAGAAAGAGCTTGTCTACAAAACTAATCTAACTCACTACATTATTCTCTGATAAAACGTGATGGGAAAATAAATGTTTTTAATGAGAATAACTTTTAATGAAATCTAGTCCAGACCTTGAGTCATTTTTAATGCATTATCTGCAGGAGTACGCACAAGCATTTCCAACAAACGCTTCAGCTTTCTGTATTGTATCGGCTAATCGCGTCAAAAGGGCAAAATGATTAATGGAAAACATTTGTGCAATTATGTTTATGAATTAATCCACCGGTGAAATGTCATGGGAGATACACAATTGTCTCTGCAACCAAATGTTTTAATGGCAGTTATCAATTAGATTATATGACATCAGTCTCTTAGTCAAAACTAAATACTAACAACATTTACTTTGTTGTTTTATATCATAGAATGTGAAATATATAAGAATGTACAATAATAAATAATATCTATAGTAAACAAGTATGAAGAGTAAAAAATATATATATATATCTTTGTACCTGTAACGCCCAATGCTGCCACCAGAGGGAGGAGTTTAATCTATTTTGTTTATTTCCAAATATGAAAGTTACCAGCTGCAAACACAGCCTTGTAAAGAACATCATTTAACTTGAGGAATTACCAAGACTAATTTAGGGGCAATACTTTTGTTAGCAATACGTTTGTAAGGCAGGAAACTGATGTCATAGTGGGACAATGAGTGAGTAAGTAATGAGAGCCAAAGCAATTTCCCAGTTTGTGACTTCCTGTTACTCACACGGCAATAAAAGGATTCTGATTCTGATATATTGTAACATAGAAAAAAATCTCCAAAAAGTCTTGAATAACGGGTCTCTTTTATCAAACATATTTTTCTACTTTTGCCTCCATTTTGTCTGTGATATGTGCTGACCTCGATGGGATGGCTGCTGTCCAAAGCGTCCAGGTCCAGCGCCCGGGTGTAGTCCGCGGACACAAACTGGGTCCAGATGTCGTACTCCGGGAAGCAGTGGTCCACGCAGAGATACTCTATCCACGACGCAAAGCCCTCGTTCAGCCACAGATGGGTCCACCACTCCTGCACAAAACATCAAAATTCAGAAATTATGACAAAAGAATAAGGTCATAGAGTAGTCTACAATCTGCATATGTAAGATCACATCTCCTGTCCTGTTTGAGTTTATTTTGTTTTTGTAAATACTGTCTTTAAAACTATAAAAACTTGGCGTGGAGCAAAGCAGGTAAAACACACATTGTTCAAGAGGAGACTAATATAAAATTGCTTAAATTTGGCTGAATGAGGCCAAAATTGCTTAAATTTGGCACATAATGACGTTGTGAGTCGTTACCATAGTGACGAGGTTTCCAAACCACTGATGAGCGAGTTCGTGTCCCACCACTAGCGCCACCCACTGGCGCGACGAGGAACAGGAGTTTTTAGGGTCGATTAACAAGGCTGTTTCTCTGTAAAACAAAGACAAAGAAAGATCAACATATGCACGGCTTTTCATTCATAGAACAACAAGCAAACACCAATTACCATATTAATCAAAGACCGTGTAGTGCTGTGTAATCCGGGGGACTGGACTCAAATACATGTCTGCTTCACCCGCTTCAAACTGTACATATTTTTCTGTATCCTGGTCATTGTTTTTTGTTCATATATTTGAAATATACTTGTGATAGTAATAATAATTCCGTTTTATACAGCGCTTTTTTGGACACTCAAAGACGCTTCACATGTCATTTTTCATTCACTCCATTCATGGTGATGATAAACTACTACTGTAGCCACAACTGCCCTGGGGCACACTGACAGAAGCGAGGCAACCACTATGTGCCATCGACCCCTCCTACCACCACCAACCATTCACACACACACCAGACTCATTCTAATGTGGTTTAAGTGTCTTGCCTACGGACACAACGACAGTCTGGCCCTTAACAGCCGCCCCACTGTGGCACCTGGCGTTCCCAGAGGTCTCCCATCACTAAACTAACCAAGCCCTGCCCTGCTTGGTTTCAGAAATGATTAAAAAAGAGAAAGTAATGAGTGTAGATTTTCTTTTTCAGTGAGAAAAACGACTTGTGAAACAATTCCAAATTATTAGCAAAGAACGTGGCAGATGGGTCCCCGGCCACTGCTCCTGACAGGTGACTACCCTCGTGGCCTTGACGGATGGGCCAAATCAAAAGCAGAGGACGAAGTGTACCATAACCTTATAGAGCGGTGGTCTGGGGAGACGGGGTAAAAGGAAGTGTGTAAATGTCAAAGGGAAGCAACTATATAATGGCCAAAGCTGTGAAAGTATCCACTGTAATTGTGTTAGTCAAGATTTAGAAGCTATAGTTCCTCCAAATGGCAGTTTCTTCTTAACCATTTTTCTTAAAAGCTGGATTACCCTAGCCTGGCTCTGCCAGACCCTTGTAGTTCCGCCATGCTCCACCAGAGGCGTTTGGCTGAACCACATGGGTCTGGTATCGAGCCCATCGCGAACGCCTTCCCCAGATTATTTTTTAATCGACCAATCAGGATTGCCGGTGCTACGTGGGGTTCGCACTGCCTTCTCAAGCTTCTCTCAAGCAGCAGCGAGAGGAATCCAAGATGGCGGACGTAAAGTCCGCGAATCTTTTTAAAAGAGTAAATACGATCGAATTAAGACACAGAGGTCACTGTTAATGCATTTTGAGGCGTTGATGGTTCTATGTTGATATATGTGTGTTGAGTCAAATGTTCCTGTAAAGTTTGGTTGAAGCACTGGTTCAGTGTTCCTGTTTACACACTATGCAGCAGGGTTGCCAGGTTTGGTGGTTCCCGCATATTTTTTTCCAAGAGACTTGTAGGTAATAAATAAACAGAAACACAATAAACACAATCATGATAGCCCAAGTTGATTATATTACGTTTTTAGCCAAAAAATCATTGAGTGTTTTTTTGTGTGTGGGTTTTCTCGTGGATTTTGGGTTGGAAAATCTTGCTGGGATTTGGCAACCTATGGGAGCCGTGTGCTTCAATGTGAGTGGTTGAAAGCAGACTTCATTCAAGATAACGGACAAGTGGTCTATCCAATCACATACAAGGATTTTTTTTACAAGGCCCTGCCTTCTGAAATCCAACCACTATGGCTCAGTACCAGACTCATGTGTGAAGTGCAGCGAACTACATGGGTCTGGCGAGAGTCAGGCTAGGATTACCCATCTCTAAACCCACAAAAAACAACAATGCAAAATAATGACATGATCTTTGCTCTCAGAACAGTTTGGTTCTGTAACTATGAGAGGAGAGGTGCAGCAGGTCTTTCCTTCCTACTGCTGTCAGACTGTACAATGAGAGCTGCAAAGTCTGTACATGTCGTCTCCAGTGATGGGAATAACGCCGTTACTAGTAACGGCGTTACTAGCGCCGTTACTTTTTTCAGTAACGAGTAATCTAACTAATTACTTTGACAGTAACTATAACGCCGTTATCATTTCCGACATCCCGTTACTGCGCGTTACTCAAGACGCACAATGAACGTGTTGTCATGAGAGAAGGGAGGATGAGAAAACCTCTCAGCAATTATTGGCTGATGTAAATCATATTTCCTTTACAATCTACATGTCTACAGTTGAGAGGATGGCTCATAAATTGTGTTTTTGAAACAAATATGGGTCTTAATCGCGCTCAACCACGGCTTGTATCACCGTGAGGTCAGCCACAGAGTAGCGCATGTGAGCGCAGAAGTCGGCTGCATACAATTCCATCGATAAGCTCCTTGCTCTTCCTGGTTTATCTGCTAAGGACAGCAACCGGTTTGGCTAACATACATATAACACATTTTTACATAATCTAAAATGCACATGGGGTAATTTTTCAATTACTATAGGAATGATAAGAAAGAGAGGTGAAGTGTAAGACGGTTGATTTTAGAAATTGGATGCAGCCGGCTGCAGCAAAACAGAGGAGTTTACGGAGGACACACGCGTTTTGTTTTACTTTTTAAAACTCATTGGACTCATTTCCAAATGGAGGATTACATATCTACGCTCAAACCATTCACTGGATTTAAACAAGGAACTGGTCTGAACCGAAGTGGATTAGTCATTTATAAGGTATAGCTATAAGGTAAGACCCATAACTCATAGTTTTGCGTTTTGTATGAACAAACAAATGCGGGCATAAAACATATTTTGCTGTAGCCAAACAAATTGTCCACTTGATTTATATGATGTATATGTTCATCTGATTGGACTGAAGTCAGTGCTTCACCAGCCTCACCGCTCGTCACCGGTGTTTCCACATTCACAGTGGCGGGTGTTGGTGTTTAGTGCTTACAGCACAGAGAGAGATGAAGAGTGAACAGGACTTCAGCAGCAAAACAGCCTTCTCTAGATGGAAATATTGGCACTGTTAAAGGTAAAAATGCGCACGTCGGGTGCACATTATGTTCCAGAACAAAACGAAAAAGTAACGCAATAGTTACTTTTACTGGTAACTAGTTACTTTTATAGTGGAGTAACTCCGTTAGTAACTCAGTTACTTTTTGGGAGAAGTAACTAGTAACTATAACTAATTACTTTTTCAAAGTAACGTGCCCAACAGATATACACCTCCCTCCATCATTATTTTCTTTGCCTCCGGCCGCAGAGGGTACTATCTGAGCAGAGATGCCAGACTGCTCTCTCCACACACACTCATAAAATTCATACAAGTGATTCTGAGGTGTTTCCAGGGCCAGCTGAGAGACTGGCCCGGTGTCACACTCAGAAGGTTGCAAAGTGCACGAAACACCCCAAGAGAAGTCCAGGGGACCCTGAAACAAACGGGAAAACTTCCATTCCGATGTGGCCTTTAAGTATTACCAAAGCTAGTGACCGGAGGTGAGAGTGGGAGCGCAGATTGAGCGTATGATGAAACCAGGGGTGTCCAAACTCACATTCAACACCAGATCCGTCATTTCATCAAGTCTTCGGGGGAAGGACTGACTCACTGATGAAATTGAGTGGAGATGTGAACTGCTTGGATGTTATGGTAACCTGCAGCCACTCGGCCCTTTCTGGAAGGTTAAAGGTTTAGCTCTGATTAGTGTCTGATTCCTCATTGCTTCACTTTCAGATGTACACTCATTCCTGGGGGCAACAGAGAGAAAGGCCGTTTGAACCTGCTGGTCTGAGTTACATCAGAAATAACACAATGACCCGCACATTCTAGTAAGTCAGTTTACACCTACAAAGTGTAAATACTTTTTAGCACTTAGTCAACAAATTAAACTGGTCTCCCAAAATATACACTGGCGTCATCTGTTGAGACTCTTTTACAAGGGCTTGATCTTGACTGTATTTAGGCTAAATGTTACTTGAAACGACGGTATTTTGTGTCTATGCCTTTTGTTTTCCTTTTTAGAATGAGGAACAAAGCAGCACCTGTCATATCTTCTCCCAATGTGTATCATGTAAATGCCCTGCTGTTTCAATCTCTGTTTAATTGATAGTTAAATATGCATATTCATGGCTTTTTAAATTCCAATGTGACTAACGCCAGGGGTTCCTGATTTTAACACCAGGGAAGAAGGAAGTAGTAGTCTTTTGTCCTTGTCTCATTTTCTGGCTCCACATTGTCACTGAGAAAAATATGACTTTAACAGTGTTATTTAATCCCGTCTTGATTTTGTCTGATTCTCGGATAAAGAGGATACATAATTTTGTACGATTATGAAAAAATACATTGTTGAAGTGTTCCAAAACCAGTAGATAACATTATAAGAAACAAGGAAAGTGTCAATACACAACCACCTAAGATTTCGTCGAGAAGAAAGAGGCGACCAAGTGTTCTGAAAAGAGTTTGATGGATGAGAAATTAATTAATGTTCATTAATGCATCTTTTTAATGTATTTAAATGAAGCAATGTTGAATGTGTATTTTTATAGGGATCTGCTCTTACAGCGAATCTACATCGCCTCTGTGTATTGTTGATTATCATAAATTTGGATTCTGTGCCCGTCTTCCTATTAATTTGCAGGCGCCTATCCTCTGTCTTCATACTCTCTTTGTCAATTGGATTGTCCTGGGTGCAGATTAAAATGCCCATTATTATATCTGTGGGCAATTTTGACCATTTCTTGCTCATTATGAGAAGATAGATTTTCAATTAGCTTCAGGTCTAAGCACAGAAAAGGTTTGTGACTGCTCCTGTGTTAAATTGTCACAAGAGCCCGTTTATGTTCGGCAGGAGAAGATTAGTGGTTTATGCGCCAATTATAGAGGCTGTTATCCGGAGACATGCATATTGAACTAATGTGTTTATCACATACAAACTGTAAAGAATGTGGACGCAAAACATTTATCTCGTGTGTCATCAACTGTAACTAGGTCTATGGTGCCTCTGGATTCTATCTCTGCAGTATGTGACTGCTCTATTGACGAGAGGCCAAGGAGATATTGGTGGACAAAAAAGATTCAGTCATGAAGAGAGAAATCCTTTAACCTTGCACAGTCTGTGGCCTTGATTGTAATGATTTTCTACACAAGTCCCTCTCAGAGAGCACCCGCTGCTCTTAAACTTACAGGAAGTCAAACCCTTTGATAAGAGCTTCTGACCAATAAAAGAACATGCTCCACCGTTCACCAAAAAAAATACCAAGGCCTCACCTTCATTAGCAGTGATGGCAGGGAGTGCAGCGCTGCCCATGTCGGACGGATGTTTGTAGAGTAAACAGCTGCTGCCTATAAAAAGACTCCATTGAAATAGATTTTAAAACATCCTGGATGCTACAAAAAAAAAACAACCCAAAAAATGTTCCGGTGAATTTCCCCCAGGTAAACTCTTCTCCATTTGTATACTTGAATGTCGTCACATTTCTCGATTTTGGATGGCAATCCATTAACTGCCCGATGATCGCACTGGTTGCTGAGATTGTATTTAAGAAACAAAACACATCACGACAACTAGTTTTACAATAGCGTGCTTCCCTTGATTAGGATAATAAATAGATAGTATAATCCTTTGTGAATATAACATAATGTTTTTAAGGCTACATTGCAACAATCAACATTCTATCGTGTGTTCTGAAGGCTAATGCGGCTACAATGAGTTTAATCTGTAAACATTTCAGCACCAATTGGCAGGTGGCTGAGTGGTTATCACTCATATTCTCATGCAAGATGGTCCTGGGATTGTATTCCGTCAGGCAGTGCCCAGGGCTTTCATGATTGTGGGAGTTTGCATGTGTCTGCATTCGTTCTCCGCGGGCCTCCAGTTACCCTACTTTAAATATAGAGATAGAGGTTGTGTACTTTATCTCTATAACCTCCACCTCTGTCCTCCCGCCCGCCTGAGGCCTATAGGGAGTGGCACTCTCTGGATAGATAACAGTTAAACAAACAACAATCAGGAACGAGATGTATGATTGAAATTGTGAGATTTCATAACACTTTGAAGCAACTTTTGTTAAAGTTAAACTCATCATTCTATCAATGTGCAGAAGCCAGTACTTTTCCCTTGTTTTGTCTATCTGAAGGCCAAGCTACATGGCACCGTGGCAGCTGCTGATTGGAGGTCTCCATGCCTCCGCTCTGTATAATACACTTGCATTCTGTTGTTTGTGTTGTTCGTGCTGTCTCTACCATCGACAATAAAACATGTCTTCTGTCTGAATTTAAGACACGATCCCAGACTTGGTACATCTTCTTCAGGTGGTGGAAGGATGCGGGCCATGTCTGTAACATTTACAGAACAGAAGACTACTTTTTTTTTTACACAAAAAGTGTTTTTTTTTTTTCAAGCCAAAACTGAAAAACCTTAAGAGAAACCATGCATCTGGATCAGCACATGGACAATCTGCACAGCCCCTGATTCCAGTCAGGCTGTGAGCTGCTGAGACATGGACAACACCAGCGTCCTCTTTTGCATGGACATCATTTGGAAAAATTGGATTACACAATTTGGACATGATTTGGAACAATCTGGATATCTGAATTTGGACATAATTTGGACTGAATTGAATTGCTGAATCTGGACACTAAAGCTGAAATGTGTGATTGAAAGACACGTCACAGAAGAATTCATGGCTCGACACAAATGCAGCCTGAAGGAATCAACACGGAGAAGTGGGAGAGACTGTTTTCAAAGCAATATCTGGAACCATCGACTGATGAAGTTTGGTATTTTACTGAAGATTGTTGACAAGTTTTATGAAAGATCTGAACATTTTTTATGAGTTTTTGAAGTACCGAGTGAAGTACCAAGTTTAAGTATTGAGTTATGATGTTATGTTGCTGTTTATCAATCCTGATGGTCACACGTGAATGTGTGACCAGAGGGGGGAATGTGAGATTTCATAACACTTTGAAGCAACTTTTGTTAAAGTTAAACTCATCATTCTATCAATGTGCAGAAGCCTGTACTTTTCCCTTGTTTTGTCTATCTGAAGGCCAAGCTACATGGCACTGTGGCAGCTGCTGATTGGAGGACTCCATGCCTCCGCTCTGTATAATACACTTGCATTCTGTTGTATCTGTTGTTCGTGCTGTCTCTACCATCGACAATAAAACATGTCTTCTGTCTGAATTAAAGACGCGATCCCAGACTATGTCATCTTCTTCACCGGCCGGATTTGACCCATAGGCTTGAGTTTGACATTCCTGATCTTCATGTCTTACTTTTCTCTAAATTACTCCATATGCATTTGAGACAGACATGTGTGAGTAAAACCAACATATCAATGAGTAAAAACCTTACCAGACAAGTTACATTGTGCACTTATGGAATAACTGGGAGCTGGGAACAACATCTAGAGTAATGTTTTTTTTTTTTTAAACCAGGACACAGCGCAGCAGTACCAGCAGTGGTCTGCAGGGGGCAGTGTCGCCACTCTTCCCGTGATGTAAACACGCTGAGGAAGCGGCAGCAGCAGGTTGTTGAAGAAAATCTGCCAATGAAATCTCCGAAACTCCAACAAAACCACTGATTTACCACTTTTTATAATGTACGTATCTCCTAAATTTACTTATTTATATTTGACTGCAGTAACCTGTCACTTTGTCTAAAATACTGCAGAATCTGTGCCTGTCTGAAGAGGCTAACACAAGATTAGCTTTCCAATGCTAACAGCTAGTTCATCTCAATACTTCGATAAGTTTATTTTGGGTAAATCTGTTTTTTTATGACATGTGTTGGGCTATTGCTAACACGTGCGTCTGTAAATAAATATACATCATTAATATTTATATATGATTTATTTTTATGTATTTTATTTTTTTGTAAATTGCCCGTTTTTGCAAAACGGGCTAAGTTATGAAGTTAGTAAGCTTGTACACTATATTTCTCCATTACTATTTTTGTATGCTTTTGCGTTTTTGTTTTAATGTATGCTTCAATCTGCTTGATCTGGTTCAGTCACGGGCAAAGTTCACTGAGCATATTTTTAACCCTATCTTTTTTTTTCCCATGTTATTTTTACTGCTGTCAAAGTTAATCATGTGATATACATGAACTGTGCTTATGTAAAGTCTTTGCATAAAGTCTATGCATAAGATTCTTCCAACGTGAGAGCCATGGCTGCATGTTCTAACTTGAGAATATTAACAAAATCAAGGCGAGTTGGCTGCTTACGTGAATAGTGATTGATATGTTAATGGGAAAAAACATAGGAAATTCATTGGTATTCGTAGTATTTGTTATATTTATAGTTATGACTAGAATGGAGAAATACATGGTCAATATGCAGCATACATGTGGTTATTTATAACTCATTACTGACCCCTGTCTTTACGATCGCCTGTCACTTAAACCTGCCATGTCTTATGTGAGTATGTACTGATTCCATGAAGATGAACATTCATGTCCTTAAAAAAAAATCTGTCTTTACTTTTACAACTTGTTTGCATCATGAGCAGAAGCAAATTACTAGTTTGTGACTCCCTGTTCCTTTCAATGACAATCAAAAAGATTTTGATGTTCTGAAACGAACATTAGATACTTTATTATCATTAGGAAACATCTCAAACTCGTGTTGTAATCTTTTTGTCAACCACAAGCATGATCTCATCTGTTAGCAATGAGGCGATCAACCCGGTGTCAGAGGTTTGTTCATGGTTTTCATTCTTTGACAAATGATCTGTCAAGTTTCAAACCAGACAAACTTGTTGTCTTTAGCGTCTGGGTCTTTTTCCTTGAGTAAACTAACATTTCTTTGTAGAAAGGGAGGTTGGTTTCTTTTGTAGCTTATGTAAACCAGGAAGGGCCTTCAGAAGGTGATGCTCCATTAACCAATGATTGTTTTTTATGTTTGGTTTTGGGACAGTGCGTGTTAATGAACACACTGCTCTAGAATGACCCTTTTCATTTTTATCTGTTGTGAGAACCTTTTCATACTGGGTTCTGGGTTTGGTTCATATCAGGTATTGGCAAATTGGCAAACCAAACGAGAGCAGTCCATCCCTAATGTTGGCCGGTATTTTTGGATAAGAAGATATTTTTTCTGCCATTACTGAGAACATGTAATTGATATGAGAGAGATAAAAGCTCTTTATTCAATATCCTTTTAGTTGACTGTGATTTGTTGCTTCTTAAGTAACTTTTCAAAGCAGTTAATGTATCTGGTTCAAAGTTTGGGACCCATTTGTATAACTGTCTTTTTCTGACAAGATTTATATATTTAGACATCATGTAATCTCTTCATATGTCAGTCCCAAAATGTGTGTATCTTCTTTGTGCTTGTTGCAGTGTGCCACAGTTTTGCATGTATACAAATGTAAGTTTACATTTACAAGGCCTGGGTGAGCAGACAAGAAACAGAAAACATACCGAGGGATGTCGGTGCGTCATAAAGTACTAAACTACTATTATACTGTACAAGCCACTGTTGGGCTTGGCCCCATGATGTTTAAGTTGGCATGAGCGGGCAGATTTCTCTTTTCAGTCTGGAAACCTGCGTTTTTTGAGTTGTTTTGGATCAATCATATTGCTGTTCATATTCTCCAAAATGTTGAGTTATAGTCTCCTGGTGTGGCAGACAATTTGTAATAACTTAAGGTATATATGCTGGTATGTCAAGCTCCTGCACGTGACTTTGTTGGAAAAAAACAGGCTACTACAAGTGTCACTTGTGTTTTAGTTCAATTTTACACAAAAAAACACATGGAAGTCCTTACTGGCCAAAAATGGGGTAAGAGGCAGGATACATCAAAGAGGGGTAAAAGCCCAGTATACATCAAAAATACTGTAGGATTACAGGCCCCAGTATACATCAAATTATTCAATCACAGGTTCGAGTCCTGGATGTTTTAATGTACTATAATTATTTAGGATTTATTGCCACTTTGGGTTGCCTTGTGTATAACTATCCTATACAAAAATGTGCCTTGCATTTCTCTTAATCTCTCTGATCTCTCCTCCAGGTGCTCTCTGGTCCGACTCTACCCCTCTCCCATGCGCTCACCATGACGCCGGCTCAGTGCTGCCCCCTATTACCCCTCCTCCTCCTCCTCTTCATTACTTCTCTCCCCCTCTCCCACTGCTTCCTCAGCCCCGAGCCGGAGCCGGAGAGCCTGCCGGAGGAATGGCTGCTCCTCCACGTGGTCCAGGGCCAAGTCGGAGCCGGGAACTACAGCTACCTGCGGCTGAACCACGACGGGCGCATCGTGCTGCACATGCGCAGCCTCCGCGGAGACGCCGACCTCTATGTGTCGGACAAAACCCTGCGTCCGAGCTTCGACACTTACAGGCTACAGTCGGTTACATGCGGCCAGGACGTGGTGGTGGTCCCTGGGGATTTCGCCAGACCTGTGGGGATCGGCATCTACGGCCACCCCTCGTACCAGGAGAGCGAGTTCGAAATGAGGGTGTTTCTGGACGATACCGTGCGGCGGGATCCGTTTGAAGACGCGGCGGCGGAGAGCGAACAGAGTCAGAAAAAAGCGCAGTCGACCTCCACTGACGATTTCCAAGAGGAGGAGTCTATATTCTGGACAATCCTCATAGGACTGCTTAAGATTATAGTGGAAATACTGGTATGAAGGCGAGTACCGGTAGATCACCCTTTAGGCGCCAAAATAGCACAACCGCTACATGAGACAATTTCTATACAGCGACCTGGTCTCCCACAAACGTTTCTCTTCCGTCATTTTCTTTTTATTTATTTCTGGCTATTGATTTTACTAGTCTTCTATCTCCTTAAAAATTGAGGGCTTCACCATTTGTCTGTTCAAATCAAATTTCTAGTAAAGCAGGGGTGTCAAAGTGATTCCAGAAAGGGTGGGTGTGGCTGCAGGTTTTGACAAGACTAAGATGGAGAATTATTTCACATTAATGAGCTGTTGTGTTTACTTTCACAAATACCTCAGCACTGGACGCAGAGTCAAAAAAGACTGCTCCAAAAATGGTCGAAAAATAACCAACATTTCTTTACCTACTGGCACCATTTCACATCGAACTCTTGTCATTTCTGGAGGTGACTCAAGTTAGTTTAGATAGAAACTGTTCAATATTTTTGGTTTTAGTCACTCACTTTTTGGCTCCACTCCTGCGAAGTACTCTTGGACTTGAGGTTAATGTGAAAATGGACCAATCACACCTCTTTGAAGACGGCTGTTTCCTAGTGCCTCTGTTGATTCAATTCAGGTAACATTTCATTTTTGAGCCGCTTGTGGACACAGTATTACAAAACGTTGCCAAATCTTCCTTGAAACTTGTCTCTGCACTGACATCTGCTTCTCTTTGACCTGTCGTGGCAATAGTCAGAACAAACTGGACTTTACATCTGTCAAAATCTATGGTTCACTTGTTAGCATTCAACTGTTTTTCTTACAAATGTTCAGTGCCTTGGACTACAGCCACACAATACGGTTTGATAATAAAACATTTTTCAAGAACTATTTTGGTGCATCTTTGTCTCCACAAAAGCTTTGCCATGAAAATAGTGAAAGACGTAGTTCCAAACACGAATAAATAACAAAATTCTTGCTGTATATTTTTTGATACATTGGGAAAATTGCACATTATAATCTAAAACAAAACAGGAAGTAAAGTAATTGTTTTTGTCCACTTTCAGGAGCAGCTTAGCACAGCGGGGTCAGTGGTCTGTCCTTCGTGCATTTCCTGTCTTTGAACTAGTAGTGTTGTGATTTAGATAGATACTTTATTGATCCCTGGAGGAGAAATTTGGGTGTCTAGTAGCAGCAAAAATACAAAAAGCTAATAGTAATAACACAAGTTGACAGCCAAAAAATGGTCAGGGGTTTCTCAACTAATTCAGACTAATGTTGGTGTTCTGAGTCCGAATATCACATGCATTTTGCTCTATCAGGTCAACTTTTTGAGATACAGCCATAGTGTTACGGATTATGTACGTCTACGTTATTATTAAATAAAAACTGAATGACTTTGGATTCGTTGACTTTAATTTCTTGAGGAAAACGGAAAAAACGTCAAGGGGTTCTCAGCATATGATCCGCAGAAATTTGTTTTTTACGCAAAATTGATTTAAAAAAATATTTCTGTAGCAAAAAATCCTGACCTGATTGAGCAAAACCAAGGCCTTTTTCGGACTCAGAGCATCAACATTAGTCTAATTCAGCTGGAAAACCCTGGACTATTTTCAAAAAATATTTTTTTGTTACCCAGTGTAATTAGCAACAGCCCTTCATGTCACAGCAGCAGAGGTGGAGTAGCCTCTGGGTGGAGCAGGACGGGTCACAGCAGCAGAGGTGGAGTAGCCTCTGGGTGGAGCAGGACGGGTCACAGCAGCAGAGGTGGAGTAGCCTCTGGGTGGAGCAGGACGGGTCACAGCAGCAGAGGTGGAGTAGCCTCTGGGTGGAGAGGACGGGTCACAGCAGCAGAGGTGGAGTAGCCTCTGGGTGGAGCAGGACGGGTCACAGCAGCAGAGGTGGAGTAGCCTCTGGGTGGCGTGTATGGCTATTCACAAATACATTGAATTGAGCTGGAGGAAGTGTGTGTGGACAGGGAAGTCTGGGCGTCTCTGCTTATGCTGCTGCCCTCGCCACTCGGAAACGGATGAAGCGGAAGTACATGTATGAATAGATATTGTCAAACAAAAATGCATTTTTTAGTTTTTTACTAAAGAGCATACACATGTTATGGGAATACTTTCTGAATTATTACAACCGTAAAAACACACAAAAATCCTGTTTATTTGTTTTTCAATCTGAATATTACACAATTCTTTTAACAGCACATTTCTGTCTAAGAGCCTAATCTATGGTCAATACAGAGAAGCATGTTCCAACTTCACCTGCTTCAGTCCGGGCGGCACGGTGGCTGAGTGGATGGCACTCTTGCCTCTCAGCAAGAAGGTCCTGGGTTCAAATCCCGGTCGGACCAGGGCCTTTCTGAGTGGAGTTTGCATGTTCTCCCCGTGTCTGCGTAGGTTTCCTCCGGGTACTCCGGTTTCCCCTACTACTAAAAATATGTACAATAGATCTGGCATGCGCCTCCTGTTCGGCGACCCCGCTCCCATCTCTGTGTGGAGTGAGAGGACAAGTGCCCAAAAAAATAATAATTGTAAACCGCTTTGTGACCCTTGTCTGTGAAAGGCGGTATATAAATAAACATTACTTACTTACTTACTTAAGTCCAGTTCACGGAAGAAGCAGAAGAAAATGGATGGATAGTCAATCATTCAACAAAAAGCCTTTTATTTGGTTTTTCACTTAAGAGCATACAAATGTAATGGGAATAACGCCTAAACTCACTGACACTAGCAGCTTAAGTACCTTGGGCCGATACTTTTGCCTCCTGTTTCTGAACTGTTCCAACCTTAGACAAACTAAAATCCTGTCTTATATTTTTGAATATTACACACAATTCCTTTAATAGCACTTTAAAGTCCATGATCCCAGTTGTCCATACAGAGAAGCAGGAGACGTGTCCCAACAGCCGCTCCTCTTCCTCCCTCTTCATCACCAGCTTCAGTCCAGTTCACGTGAGCGCGGCCGAGGAGAGTCTTACGTTGTTTATTCTCAGCACGGTTTGAGGCTGCACTATGATCTTGGTCCTCTGGAACCGCTTGCGTTTGTGGAACTGCATGTGGACTTTGGGCCTGGACTCGGTCTTCTCGATGACCGTGGCCTCGACGCAGACCAGCTCCTTGGCCAGCAGGGGGCGCCCCAGCAGAGTGAAGTCCTGGGCCCCCACCAGCAGCACCTTCTCCAGCCTGATGCGGTCGCCACACTCCGCCTCGATGTGGTTCTCCACCAGAATGAGGTCCTCGTCAGTCACCTGCGTCAGAGGAGACAGGGTTGGTCCAGAGATAATAAACCACAAATAACATCAGTAACTTTCCAATTCAATAGTTTTAATGCATTTAAAGCTGGGGTTTCGATCCAAAAGCGAATTAACAATGTAGCCAACTTAATTTGGTCTCATGTAGCTCTCAACCTCATGAGTCTAATAGTGACTCACAGGTACTTTCTTAAAAACTAAACATATTTTAATAGGATGAAAACATCTGATTTGTTCACAAAAGTTTACTTTAAAAATGGGTTCCACGGCTTTAACAACCTCAGAATCAGAATCAGAATCAGAATCATTTTTATTGCCAACGTAAGTAACGGGAGGTCACAGACTTGGAAATTGCTTTGGCTCAGTGCAACAGTCAAAAAGAGATAATAAAAATAAGAATAAAAAACACTTCTAAAGAATAAATTTAAATTTAAAATAGAGTTACAGTTACTATTTACAATATACAAGTGCACATGGTGCACACAATGTAAGGTGACAGCAGTACAGTGAAGTAAAGTGACGTATGATGGGCAGTAAAGTGACTTTATAAAGGGCGGGGGGACAGGTTAAGAAGTGTTCAAGAGTCCAACAGCAGAGGGGAAGAAACTGTTCTTGTGGCGGGAGGTTCTAGTCCTGATGGACCGCAGCCTCCTGCCTGAGGGGAGTGGTTGGAATAGTCCATGTGCAGGGTGAGAGGGGTCGGCTGTGATACGACCAGCCCGGCCTCGAGCTCGGGCGACGTACAGGTCCTGCAGCGATGGAAGGCTGCGGCCGATCACTTCCTCTGCAGAGCGCACAATGCGCTGTAGTCTCTGTTTGTCCCTGACTGTGGCTCCAGCGAACCACACGGTGATGGAGGAGGTGAGGATGGACTCGATGATGGCCGTGTAGAACTGCACCAACATCTGTGCAGGCAGCTTGGCTTTCCTGAGCTGCCGCAGGAAGTACATCCTCTGCTGGGCCTTCTTGATGAGGGAGCTGATGGTCGGCTCCCACTTGAGGTCCTGGGTGATGGTGGTGCCCAGGAAACGGAAGGACTCCACAGAGGTGATGGGGGAGTCCATCACGGAGGGTGGGGGCGGGGGGACAGTGCTCTTCCTGAAGTCCACAATCATCTCCACTGTCTTCTGGGCGTTCAGCTCCAGGTTGTTACCACTGCACCAGGACACCAGCCGGTCCACCTCCCTCCTGTAGGCGGACTCATCGTTGTTGGAGATGAGTCCAATGAGGGTGGTGTCGTCCGCGAACTTGATCAGCTTCACGGAGTCGTGGCTGGAGGTGCAGTGGTTGGTGTACAGGGAGAAGAGCAGGGGAGAAAGAACACAGCCCTGTGGGGCTCCTGTATTTATAATCCAAGGGTCCGAGACATTCTTCCCCAGACGCACTCGCTGCTTCCTGTCCGTCAGGAAGTCAGTGATCCACCTGCAGGTGGAATCGGGCACGTTGAGCTGGGAGAGCTTGTCCTGGAGCAGGGATGGCAGGATTGTGTTGAAGGCAGAGCTGAAGTCCACGAACAGGACCCTGGGCGTAGGTCCCCGGGGAGTCCAGGTGCTGTAGGATGTGGTGGAGGGCCAGGTTAATGGCGTCGTCTACAGATCTGTTGGCTCTGTAGGCGAACTGCAGGGGGTCCAGGAGGGGGGAGGTGAGGGACTTGAGATGGGAGAGAACCAGGCGTTCAAATGACTTCATGACGACAGACGTAAGTGCTACAGGTCTGTAGTCATTGAGTCCTGTGATCCTGGGCTTCTTCGGGACGGGGACAATGATGGAGGATTTGAAGCAGGCCGGGACATGGCAGGACTGCAGAGAGGAGTTGAAAATGTCCGTGAACACAGGAGTAAGCTCACTGGCGCAGTGTCTCAGAGTGGCCGGAGACACGTGGTCCGGGCCAGGAGCTTTGCGGGGGTGCAGCCTCAGGAAGAGTTGTTTAATCTCTTTAGCGGCTATTGTTAGGCTGGGGGCAGGGCTGATGGGTGGGTCGTTAGAGTAGTTAGAGTAGTGGGGGGTGGGGGAGGGAGAGGTGTCAGGGGCAGCATCAAAGCGACTGAAAAATAAGTTCAGATCGTCAGCTAGCTTGTGGTCATCAGCACAGGGGGGGGCTTTGGGTTTGTAGTTGGTGATCTCCCGTAGGCCCCTCCAGACAGAAGCAGTATCGTTGTTACCAAACTGCTCCTGTAGTCGTTCTCTGTGCCGGGACTTGGCTGCTTTCAGTTCTTTCCTGAACTGATATTTAGCTGCTTTGTAGCCGCTGCGGTCCCCCTCCCTGAAAGCAGACTCCTTTGCTTTCCTGAGCTGCCGGAGTTTAGCAGTGAACCAGGGTTTGTCGTTGTTATAGATGACCCTGGTCCTTGTTGGAATGATGCTATCCTCACAGAAGTGGATGTATGACGTCACAGTGTCCGTATATTCATCCAAGCTGTCTGTGGCAGCTCTGAAAAGGTCCCAGTCTGTAGATTCCATGCATGCGCGCAGCTCTTCCACAGCTTCATCAGACCACACTTTGGAGCTCCTCACTGCAGGTTTCGAGAGCTTTAGTCTCTGTCTGTAAGCAGGAACCAGATGTATCATGGAGTGATCTGAGAAGCCGAGGGCTGGCTTGGGAACAGCGCGAAAAGCTCCGCGCACGGTGGTGTAACAGTGATCCAGAGTGTTCTCCTCTCTGGTCGGGCATTTGATAAACTGTCTGTATTTGGGTAATTCCTGGCTCAAGTTTCCCTTATTAAAATCCCCCAGGATAATAATCAGAGAGTCCGGGTATAAGCGTTCCATACACAGTACTTGCTCTGCGAGTGCGCGCTGAGCCTCGCGCGCGTCCGCGCATGGCGGTATGTAAACAGAGGCAAGAATGAATGAAACAATTTCCCGCGGGGAGTAATATGGTTTACAATGAATGAAAAGATATTCCAGAGCAGGAGAGCAGTGCTTGGAGATCACTGTCACATCGTTACACCAGTTTGTATTGACGTAGAAACAGAGCCCTCCGCCTCTGCTCTTCCCTGAGAGCGCACAATGGCGATCCGCGCGAAACAGCCCAAAGCCCTGCAGCTCCAGAGCGCAGTCCGGGATCCGCTCATTTAGCCAGGTCTCAGTGAAGCAGAGGACACAGGATGTGGCGAAGTCCTTGTTTCTTCTCATGAGCAGGCTGAGTTCGTCCATCTTATTGCCCAGTGAGCGTACGTTGGAGAGAAAAATGCCGGGGAGAGCCGTGCGCGCTCCTCTCCTCCTAAGACGCACGAGCAGGCCTCCTCGCTTTCCCCTTTTACGGGCCCACACTTTTTTGGCTAGAACATGAACTAAATCAGCCGCAGATGCCAAGAAAACAGGCAATAGGTCCATGGGAACGGTGGGTCGGATGTTCATAAGTTCCTCACGGGTGTAGGAACAGCCAGATGCACAGTTAAAAAGTAAAAACAAAAGAAAAAGAGAGCAGCAAAGAGCCATGTCGACCGTACGAGGCGCCATCTTGAATATATAACCTGCAATGACACTGGTTATAGAATCATTATTTACTAAACAAATTAACAACCGTAACTCCTATAAACAATATCTGTTTATTCATTTGTTTCATGTTCAAGAGCCAACTCGTTTAATCATTTCTAGATAAAGATAAAGCGGGGCAAACATTGACAGAGGCTATAGTTGATGTGGCTCAGACATCTGCTTTGGATGGCTCCGTGGGGAAGTGTTCCAGGCAGGTCCCACTGGGAGGAGACCCAGGACATGTCTCTCAGCTGGCCTGGGAACACCTGAAGATTCCCCGGTTGAGTTGGAAATTCTACTGCTGCCCCGCGAACCGGCAGCGGACGGATAAAGCGGAAGAATATAGATAGACAGAACAAAAAAACTTTAAAATGAACTGTATCTTGTAATCGTATAACTGGAGTCCATGTCTCACCAGAAGGAGCTGGAGTTGCACACTTTGAGAGACACTAGTGCAGGCACACTTTGGGTTGCAGGTTCAAATCCAGCTGATCTAGTCAGTGTTTATACTTGATAGAAAATAGTGATAGCTAATAGTTATTAGCACCACGTCAGAATCTAAAAAGTGACACTAAGAATGACCTGAAGTCTGACCACCACTGATCCACCGTGACATTGTGTCATTGGGCAAGACTCTGCACACAACCTAAACATAGAATATAAACATAGAATATAAACATTAAACAGAATAACCCGGACCTTCCACTGCCTCCCAGCGAAGTGCACCACAGCGAACAGTCTGCCGTAGTCCTGCCGTGAGATGAGCGCGTTCACGGCGGCCACCACTGCTCCGTGCTGCCGCTGCTCCTCCTCCAGAGACACCGGGGCAAGAGCGTCGGCCCACGGGGGCGCAGAGAGGCTCGTCCTCGGGAGCTGGAGCACGGCAGGGGTCGGTGTGATGCTGGCGGAGCTCTGGAAGCGGACAGCGGCGGGGAGCAGAGAGGAACTGCATGTCCTCCAGAGCCGTGGAGCTGCTCTGCACAGCGCCATCTTTGCAGAAACACACCCACTGCGCATGCGCGAACAGCCAACCAGCTTCTACTGCGGAACGTGCTGCTGGTGGTTTTTGTGCGTGCGCTTCCTGCTGGACAGTCGCAAAAGGACATCTGTTCATAAAATAAATGCACGAATAAAAAATACAATTATGTAACTTTATATGGGGAGGTCATCACCATAGAAACAATGAACACAGCAACAATATTTTAACCCCAAGAGCAAACGACTTATTACTTTAATATTCTCGCCCTGGAGTTCATTACAGATTCATACAAGTAGATATTTCTTGCACTGAAGTAAACTTTTTAATTTAAGATTTATTCATATTAATACTTAATTATCCGCTGTGTTTGTGCGAATGTGAGCATAGGACTAATACACAATTTCCTTTGGGATCAATAAGTAACTATCTATCTATCAATCTATCTCTCTGTCTAAAATACAAAATAATACATATACAAAATAAATACAATCACTAATCACAATAAAAACATTATTCATCAACAGTCTGAAACCAATTATCTGTGTTTTACTACTTTTTTTTCATTCTTGGACTTTCAACAAAGGAATTTGATTGTGCACAGTGGCTTAAGTAGACAGCGCATCATATCATGGGGAAAAAACACAAATATAATAAACTACCTTTACAAACTTTTCAACCCTTCAAACTACGACTTAATTTGTGTGATGTGTTGTATTTTGTAATGTCTGGAAAGCACTTTGTTACAGTCATGTCTGTTTTTAAAATGAATAAACTTGACCTTGACTTTCCACTGCACAATGAACATATATCCTGTAATAATTTCCAACATCATCTATAATTTGGAATGACCTTATGTTGGTTACAGATGTTAGATTTTAGAAGCTATTTTGACACGTGAATAGATGAGGTCATAATGTTTTAATTGGGCTACGTTGAAATCACGTCATGGTCACTTGTGTGTGTAGTAGAGCAAGCAAATCAGATTATACGCTCACATAATTAGACCACTATAGTAAATGCTTTAGCTGAATGTGGGTATATCTTAATTTTGATATTGTGTTTAATATGAGTCACAAACCACATCCACGGTCTTTACTCTATACCTATCTTTTAGTGTCCTGGTGTAGGCTGTCTGCTTTGACTGTTATTGTTAATTGTGTGAGCGTCAATACATGTGTATGACATTGCAATAATAATTATTTTACACACATTTAGGGAAAACATTATGGAGTCATGGTTTATAATGAGGTTTAGCTGTGCATACAACTGAAGGATTTTATATTTTAATCTTTCTTTTTAATGTACTGTGATAATTTATTATTTTAATGCTATTTTTTCTTGTTCAGCACTTTCAGTTGCCTTGTGTATGAATTGTGCTATATAAATAAACTTGCCTTGACTTTAACATAATGGTAATGTGTATTGTATATGTTCTCGACTGCCCAGGGACAACAGATGAAAGGAGCAGTAGCTGAATCTGGTACAAAGCATCTCTCCTATCAATTGTCTCGTATTAAATAAACAATAAAGTCAAATAATAATAATACATCTAAAACTTCTATTTATCTCTCTGTCTATCTATCTATCTGTATAATATCTATCTATTTATCTGTTATCTTTCTATCTGTACGTCTTTCTGTCAATCAATCTATTTAATAATTATCTATATGGGCGGCACGGTGGCTGAGTGGATAGCACTCTCGCTTCTCGGCAAGAAGGTCCTGGGTTCGAATCCCGGTCGGACCATGGCCTTTCTGAGTGGAGTTTGCATGTTCTCCCCGTGTCTGCGTAGGTTTCCTCCGGGTACTCCGGGTACTACCACTAAAAATATGTCCAATAGTTCTGGCATGTGCCTCCTGTACTGGCCCCGCTCCCATCTCTGTGTGGAGTGAGAGACAAATGCCCAAAATTAACAATTGTAAACCGCTTTGAGACTCAGATCTGCAGTGAAAAGGCGGTATATAAATAAAGATTACTTACTACTTACTTACTATATCTGTCTATACCAAGTTGATGATGGACAACTCTATGTCAAAGTTGTCAAGTTGTGTGCATGGATAGTTCTATGCAACGAGCCAATGGGAGCATCCCAAGAGACCCATTCAAATTAGGAAAGTCTGAATAGGTAATAAAGTTAAAATAGTTCTTGAAGCCCAACAACATAAACACATATCTTCACTCAAATATTCCCCTTAGATGTGGTTTTCAAAAAGTTTTAATAACAGCAGTAATTGATGCATTGTCGATTCTTCGGACGTCCCCTGAACGCCTCTCCGGGCTGCCTCCATTTTGTGTCAGCTGCAGTTTCCGGGTTCTTCCTCAGAAGGAAGAAGGACCGATAAACTGGGATGTTCAGCCCCCTAGCAGCTCCTGAGTGCGGATAAAGTTTCACCAGGACTCCCGGGGTTCTCAAAAACCCACCGAGTAACGCGTGTGGGCCTTCAGACTGCACACGGCTCTACTTTGACCACTGACAGCGCGGAGTAAACACGCACATGCTAATGGCTAATGCTAACTAGCTTTAGCTGGGAAGAGTTTTTTAGGATTCCAGCAGCGATTTTGGTGACAAATGCAGACCTGACATCAGAAATAGACAAACAGCTCTCCTGGAAGATTGACCACGTCTCATTCATGTTGTTGTGCAGCGACAGACTGACAATCCTGCGCTTTTTACGTGTCAAGGTAAGTAAAGTTTACAGTCCCATGATTAGTGTACCTGGGAGCGGTCCATTCTCACCTGCACAGGCCTCAACTCAAGCCTGGGAGAAAGTTTAAACTTATTGATATCTAATGGCATTTCCTTAATATTTTGCTAATATGACAATGTATGTGTTGATGAATTCATGATTAGTGAAGAGATCTGGTGAAACCCAAAGTCGACTAACTAAACTACCCAAACTATATGTTATGAATGCTTTTTGATATCGTCATTAACCTTATAGAATTAACTTTCGATTATATCTTCATGTTTTTATATTTAATTGGCAGAGGCAGTAATTGATTTCCACAAATGGCACGTATATGACGCACTGTTAATATGCCATTCATTCATGCTGTGGTACATATTAGGGCTGGGCAATAAATCGAATTTAGGCAATTAATCGGCTTTTGAAAAAAAATCGAATTTGTGAAAAATGTGAAAGTCGTGAAATCGAATGAAGGATATTGTGAGAGTTCCAGCAGCACATGAATCATACTTGCGTGATCAGCACAGTCTGTACAAGAATTTTATAATACGTATTGGGGGAAACGAATTAAAAATGGTTTTGAAACTTTCATATTGAGCGGAAAGATCAAAACACATTTTTAAGGGCAAAGTCTGTCTTCGGTGACTTTAAAGAAAATCTATTTAAAATCAAAATTGTACAAAGCAGGAAATAAAATTGAGCTGACTTTTTTAGCCCAAATGTTATAGATATTTGGACAACTCCCAGTTTTGGTGGAGCACAGACGCGCAATGTTACGAGGTGGTGTTGTGTATGGCTGGAAATGAGGTCAATGACACAAACTAACTTCAACTTTTGACAACTATTATCAAAGCCGGGTTACTTCACTTTTTATTTCCCCAATAATCCCTGTTTGTCCCAACTGAATGAGTCAAAATGTTGTGAACAAACCAGAGCAAAAAAACATACTGTCTTCATCTTATTAGACTTGTTATCTATTGCATACTTGTAAGAAAAATCCCAGAGAGCTGATTGGCTGAGTGAGGGTATTTCTGTCTGATAAAGCTGCCCTGAGGATGTTACAGAGGCCTCGAGCGCATGGAACTAGTTATATATTAGATATTTCAGTAGTTCTGGTTTGGAAATGAGACACCCCGGCTTTAATTACTGTAGGTGATTGGTAATTAGTTTGCCTTATGTCCTGCAAAGTCATAAACCCAATGCCTGTACAGTCTGTAAAATAGTTCTGTCTGTAAACTCGGATTCTAGGTTTTTTTTTGTTTTTTTTAATAATTTGTATTACCATTAAACTATTTACTTTTTATTATGGATAGCTGGACAGTTTACCCTTGCTGTCAGTTTGCACAATCAAAAATACAGCTTCCTTTCAATGTATGAAATGGTTTTTGATTGGACATTTCTAACCAGATATTTTTTGTTTAGCAGAATGAACTTGAGCACAAATACCTGGGCGACAGTAGCTCAGTTGGTAGAGCATTGGCCTTAAGCCCAGAAGGTCGTGGGTTCAATTCCCACCTCTGCACCTTCTCCACCGACTCCCACTGATGACTGCTGTCGTTGTGTCCTTGGGCAAGACACTTAACCCCACTTTGCCCAAAGCCCCCACTGAAAGATCAAGGCTATGCTCACACTCAGAGCAGCCGTCCTCCTGTGGACTCACCACCTGCAGAGGGTCAGTGAGGGGCTGGTGCTATGAGACTTGGGTGGCATCTCTGACTGCCACCCCCCTGACCCAGAAATGGATTAAAGGGAAGAAGATGGATGGATGGAAGTTCTTGTAAAGTCACTGTGCTCTTGCTTAAAATCTTAACTTTTTAGTCTTCTGCTTGTGTCCTCTGGGATGTTATTCCTATGGCTTTATTCTAAAACTATTTGGATTAAAACGTTTCTATTGTAACTACAAGAGCCCGACAACCGCGAGAACGTTACGATTTGAGATTCTTTATTTGTCCTACAGTTGGGAAATTTCAGTGTTGCATCACAAGTTACAGAACTGGAAGATTGAGGAACACACAACACAAGATACAAAAATATAAAGTATGGCACAACTCTAGACTTAAAACGAAGTTTACCGCCGCGTGAACAACGCTGATTCTTTCCTGCGCCCCATGCTGTGTTGTTGTTGTTGTAGAGCGCCACGAGGAAGTGACGTGTACGTGAGATCTGATAAATTACTTTGAATTAATTCATTTTATACGTATATGTACATTATGCAGATATCCGATCCAGTATTTTTTCTGATCGGTGCATCCCTAATCATGAGGGTGTGATACTACTGTACTTGTTAGCGTCATGTGATACTACTGTACTTGTTAGCGTCATGTGATACTGCTGTACATGTTAGCGTCATG